TCTTTCTTTCTCTCTTTCTCTCTTTCTCTCTTTCTTTCTCTCTTTCTTTCTCTCTTTCTTTCTCTCTTTCTTTCTCTCTTTCTTTCTCTCTTTCTTTCTCTCTTTCTTTCTTTCCAAAATTTTCAAAATTTACACAATATACAAAAGAAAAAATATGTCCCCAAAGCAGCTGTATGAGAGTACCCTGGCATAAAGATAATTCTCCCTCAGTCTCACAAGATCCTCTCCTCATGTACGTTTTGTAAGTGATGAGCATTAAGCTTTTGGAGCAACCTGATTTTGCCCTCTTGATCCTAAGCCGCCCTCCGCTTCTGCTGGGCTCACTGGAGGGAAGCCTTTGTGAGCGTCCCGGAGGGAGATGCTGCAGCAGGGATCTCTGAAGGCTAATAATGTAGAAGTCCTCCATGGATTTTTAGTTGATAGCTTTCCCCCGGCTAGTACTTTTAGAAAGAATAAGCAGAAGCAGCTGACCGATCCCTGTTTTGTTAGCTGCTTTGCTAATTTTCCTGCCATATGCAGATTTGCAGATTTTTTTAATTCCAGATTGGAGAAAAATCCTTTTTTTTTTTTTTTTGAAGGCTTATGCACAGCCTTTTTTCCAGTTTCTTTTTCAGAAACAGAAAGAAAACAACAGCAAAACACATGAAAAAATCCATGTATTTCCAACCCATACATTTCCAACAGTGGAGCCATGTCAAAGAGCTGGAGGAGCCCTGAAGGCCACGTGAGAAGAGTCTCCCTTGCAGAGACCTCCCTTCTGCTGCCTCCAACAAAGTCATGGATAACGACTAGGACCAGGGCAGTGAGTACGCAGCTGGGCTTGCAGACACCAGCCAAATCATCCCAAGGGGCTCTGCTAACATTCACGGACCTCAGATTAAAAATTTCCTCCAACCACATGACAATTCTTTCCCCCACAATTTGCTAAGTCTTTATTTGTTTGTTTTTGAAAATTCTCCTTAGCTCCAACCCTAGGCAACACACTGGGATGGTTTCATTTCCTTCAGGAGAGCTGGTGGTTGGGGTAGGAATGCAGATGGGAGCAGATTATTCGAGATTATGCTATGCTAAGTGCACATATATTAAAGGACAAAAGGTTGTTTACCTCAAAAACCTTTAGCCAGGCCCGTGACTAAGAAAGCAACCCAAGAAATGAAAAATAAGGAGGACTTTGTGCTCATTTCAGTGCAAGACAGGGCTTGATCCTGTGCTGTGGGTGCACAAACGTGCACCACCGTAGGCTTTTGGAGGTCAAATCCTCATGTTCCTCCCTCATTCAGCGTTTTAGAGCCCTGGCTTGTGGCAAACACTGAAGAAAGCTGAAGAGGAAGGAAGGACAGCTGATGTGGCCTGGCATTTGCTGCAGTTTCTGGATAGCAGACATTCCTGGCGAACTGTTTTCAAGCCATTGCTGCTAAGTCTTCACGTGTCATCGTTGTGTCTTTGGAAGTCAGGGTTAGTGAGTTAACTATAGAAAACCTCTAGCTGCTTGATCAATTATTCCCTGGCTGTGGGAAAAGATGGGGAGTAGGGAAATTTGTCTTGCATGTGACCAGATGAATGTCTTGAAAGTGACTCTGTTTACTACTAAAATATATATGCTGGTAGGAAGAACTTACATGAAAATTTCTAGAGTTTACCTTAGGACAGAAATAAGATCACCTGAATAACTAGCCTCTTTCTCTTTCTCTTTCTTTTTCCTATTTTAACCAGTTTCTTTGCCTTGAAGTACTATGTGAGGCAGACACAGCCTCTCAAAATCCAATTCATGCTACATCTCCAGTCCCATCCTAAAATCACATGAAAACTCACACAAACTATTTTTCTTCTTCCCTCTTTTCCTTTCACTTGCTGTCCATCCAGACAGGGGGTAGGAGAGGAGGCTGAGGAGCAGTATCACCAAAAAAGCCTAGTCCAGCCTCCTGCCCAAGGACAAAATTTTGCATCACCAATGTATGGGCATTGGAAATAGCATGGCAAGACCTAGGTAGACCCTCCAGGGTCACAGTGGTCAACATATACATACATACATACATACATATATATATATACACATATATACATATATATATATATAAAATGCAAAGTGTGTGCAAAAGTATATATAAGTATATAAAAGTATATATATAAGTATATAGAAGTATATATATATATACACACACACACACACACACACACATATATATATATATTTTCCTTTGCTGGCAATCTTCTTGAATGTTTTGGCGCACACACTTTGCATTTTCAGGCATTTTTTTAACATGGGGAGGCCTCAGAGCTTAATTTTATCTGTTTGGATAAGGAAGGCTCTCAGAGTGCACCATTGTTCCAGCCATTGGAGCTCAAAGAGAGGCATTTTACAGGCTGAACAGCAAGAGCAGTGGTAAAATCAAGAGATTTGGCAGCCTGTGTATGGCTCCCCAGGAGTTAGAGGCTGTCTATAGGTTCCTTTATCCCGGGATCACCTGTGCCTTTTATAACTATGCCACAAAACATTCACTTTGAATAAATTAAACTTTCTGTGTGGTGTAAATTATTAATGTACTAAAAAGTGCTGCTAACTGTTGTCTGCATGTAAAGCTATTGCTCGCTGTTCCTGAGTGATGCATTTGGTTGTATGCCATTTTCCCCAAGTCAGCAAAAATACATAATATGTGCTTTTTTTTTTTTTTTTTTTTTCCTTTAAACTGTGCTGTATATTTTGGGCGAAGACCACAGAAACCTGAGTAGTTCCATTTCCCCTCTGGGAAAGGGAGCAGTACGCATAAGAAGCCAACCAAGAACAGAATTAAATCCAAACTAATTGGAGAAGGTCTTTTCATTGCTGAAAAGACTTACCTTGTTGCTTAAAGCAAAAAGGAAGGAAGGAAGGAAGGAAGGAAGGAAGGAAGGAAGGAAGGAAGG